ACAAAGTATAATATATCAAAACAATCTCTGTTATGGTTTGATTCGTATTTAAAAAATCGTGAACAAAGTGTTGTCATTGATAATTTTAAGTCAGTTCCTCATAATATTGATATAGGAATTCCTCAGGGAACAATTTTGGGTCCGATTCTTTTTAGCATTTATATTAATGATCTTCCAGAAGTGTGTCCTGATGCGAGTCTTCAAATGTAAGCTGATGACACGGTTGTCTATGTATTTGGTAGGAACTGTGTGGAAATTGAAGAAAAGTTAACAAGAAATTTTGAGAAAGTGTCAGCTTGGCTTGATGCCTCTTTTTTTAACTTTAAATACTAAAAAGACAAAGTCCATATGCTTTTCAATAAGAAAATTACCGGTAACAGAATCATTAAACATTAGAATTAAAGATGAGATTATAGAACAAGTATCAGAAGAAAAATATCTTGGTATGATTTTAGATTCTCAGTTAAATTTTAAAAGTCATGTTAAAAAGTTGCGTAAAACGATTAAAGCAAATCTTACCAGCTTTAGAATAATACGAAATTGTTTAACATATTGTAAAAGAGCATAATAGGACCCCTTTAACCGGTCGATGGAAAATAGGCTACCTTAACTGTTATCAGAAGTGTTGAGATTTTTAGAATGCACATTAGCTTATGTAGAACTGTTTATGGAGCAGATAGGAAAATTTAATTTATCATTCTGACTTTTTATAAAAAAAGATTTTAAGGCTGAAATGTTATAATTCTATTTTTAAAAAATGGTCAAAACTTTATTTGAACATGTAGTACACACATGTTAGGACTATTTTTTGTTAGTTGAAAAAACGGTCATCGTTTTTTAAATGTTTTTATTTAATTGTAATGCAAACAAAAAGTGGATAGTGCTGCTAATTTTTGCAGGCTTTTGTCATAAAACTTGGTAAAATTATTTCAGTGTGTGTATCAGTACGTTTTTAACATTTCCAGCACATTTGAACAATACCGTGTATAACAGTTTGGACTGATACATTATTTAAGAGATTTAAGTATCATGTAATATGCTTTCATTTTTATAAAGTAGCTCCCGAATGAAATAAGGTTGGAGACCCCTGCTCTATAGTGTATATTGGTCTGTGTGAGTGCACTGTATGTATGCAGATGAATCTGTAATCTCAGAGAGGAAAAAACTAAACATTTACCCCCAAATTCTGATTCTGTAATGCACTTCTTAGAATTCCCATTATTGATTATTTAGTCACTAAATGAAATACTGTTCAACAAACTGTAGTGAGCAGCATTCACTGGGGCATGCCATGAGTATGAGTCTCTGACTGCAACAATGGACAAAGGTTTTATACATTTTGACTGGATCTTGGCAGACTAACATAACTAAACTGTCCAACTCCATCAGATGAAGATGCCAGGACAAGAGCCAGACTCCTCTCAGAGGACAAGAGCACCACCTCTGGCAGCAAGCCCGGGAAGGACAGGACTTACCAGTGTCTTCCCTTCACCTATAACCTTAGGATCTCGAAACAAAGACAGATCACAGAGATCCATCCAAATCCACTCATAACTATGCTTTCAAACCTTAAAACTGATGCAAACTACAACACACCCTTCTTACACTTAGTGTAACCAGTCAGTACTGAAATGTAAAAAAATGAGACAATACCAGCATTTCCCACTAGCACTTGAGCGGATTCTTACTCAACAGATATGACTGTGATTGGCTACAATGATCGGTGCTTTAGACAACTCTACTGTAATTCATACTTATACTTCTATTTAATAGAAGTGTCAAACTGCAATCTCGTGCTCACTGCAAAGGGATGAACTCTGAGTGTAGTGAGTCTCCATCCCAGAGAAAGCAGACTGACCAAGTTTTGGACCAAATTAGTAACAAGGTTAAGCTCCGGCGAGCAAACCTTCACTTCAGGGTACTTTCATCTGCGTGTTCCAGATCTTAGGAGTCCTGCAGCGCTTCGTCTTCAAGCTGCTGAACCGGATTCCCCAAGAAGGCTTACTTTCCTTCAGCATTTTTTTCTTTTGATATGTTTTGTTAAATTTGCAGCACTTACCAAGATCTGACAAGAGGTCAAATGATTGACATGACAATCCTATCCTGATTACTATTAAATCATCTAAATCTCTGTCATGTTCTGTACTGTTCAAAATATTCTGGGTTCAATCAACAACATTTGTGCCAGAATGTTAAGTACCACAAAAAAATGCGTTCGACTTGTTTGTGTTGTTCTTCAGAAGCAGCATAAGTAGAGTTTGTCTGTCTCCTCACACAGGAGCAGTGGAGCGAGACCATCACACTCACCAGCATTATTGAGCGCGCTGCCGGTGGATGGAGAGACCTGCAGGAGACGCGGGTCAATGAAGGGCGTGAAAGACGAGGAAGACTTGTGCTTCGGCACGGTGGGAGTCTGTGAGAACACAACACAGAGCAGAATAACACTGAACATTTAAGCCTTCTCGAGTTTATTAATTATAATAATGCTTGTAAAAAGCAGTCTAACAGCTACGACTAAACACACAGATGACAAAACATGCTGAATGACTTGGTGGTTGGTGGAAAAAAAGGATGAATTGACTGATGAAAACAGAGATCATTACAATTCTAAGAAAGAGAGTAAAACGCGGGGACATGGATGCAAGCAAGCTGAAGGTGTCTGGCTAAATACAAACAAAAGGTGAACATTAATTTCATTCATTTTTCTAAAATATTACATAGTTTTATAGAAGGAGGTTTCATAGACTTGGCAAATTCATTTTTCAGAAGTTTGTATGGACATCTGTTGTGGGCGTTCTTGGCAGTGATTCTGAGGCTTTTTAAAATATTGTTCATATCGATATCGGAAATATATCGTATCAACCAAACTAAAGAAATATATTGTGATATAAATTTTGGCTATATCGTCCAGCCCTACGATCCAAAGAAAGAATCTACATACATCAGCAGTTTCTGATCTAATTTCAAAATCTAAAGCAAAAACAGAATGGTCTAATTTTATCTTTGTGAAATTATGCTACATAAAATATATCTGCAGGAAACAAAAACAGCACACTGGTTGATTAAGAATGCAAATTCCCTCTCTGCCAGCAGGTGGCGCTTATGGAACAGCAGCAGTGCAGCGTTTCCCTGGTTACAGCTGTAAACAAAGCAGTGATACAGTGTTTCCCTGGTTACCGCTGTAAACAAAGCAGTGATACAGTGTTTCCCTGGTTACCGCTGTAAACAAAGCAGCAAATTACAAATTTTTCTCTAAATAAAAGTGACATCTACCAGTCATAAGATTTGCGTTTTCCTTGCATTTTATTTTTAACAACATCAGTTTTCCCCTGCATTTCTATGAACAACAAAAAAATGTTGTGTCATTTAAATCTACCAATCAATATAAATTCAATTTGAATACAATGAATGGGATTCCGTGCTGTTTCATGCCGCATTCCAAGCTTCAAAACGAATCCAAATACACCAAACATATCATAAAAGTAGCCAAAACAACTGGCACAGTTCTCCAAGTTATACAATAGATTTGTTTAATGAATGGACCAAACTTTAAGGTTTTCCAACTCTAAATAAAAGTGACATCTACCAGTCATAAGATTTGCGTTTTCCTTGCATTTTATTTTTAACAACATCAGTTTTCCCCTGCATTTCTATGAACAACAAAAAAATGTTGTGTCATTTAAATCTACCAATCAATATAAATTCAATTTGAATAGAATGAATGGGATTCCGTGCTGTTTCATGCTGCATTCCAAGCTTCAAAACGAATCCACACACACCAAACATATCATAAAAGTAGCTAAAACAACTGGCAGTTCTCCAGGTTATACAACAGATTTGTTTAATGAATGGACCCAACTTTAAGTGATTACTTCACTGATGATCCTCTCTATGGAGAAGCGACCGGCACAAAAGAATTGCTGAAAACTGACAGAGCTCGTTTCCCAAAGCAACTACGGTCGCAAGTAACTTAATGTCATTATAGTTCAATGTAATTTAACAAACACAGTTCGCTAACGATGCTTTTGGGAAACACTCCCCAGATCTATCCAGTTTAATTCACACTGGTTTCGTTAAACAAAATAAATGAATCATTTAAAAGATTGAATCAAAAGAATCATCTGTTCACGAATCGGATCATGAACTCGCATTACCGCGCCAAAGATAATCTATTCTTGAACATTTCAAATGAATAAAGACTTAAAGTTCATCTGTAAATCACGCAAAGCTATCGTTTGACTTTATAAACTTTTCTTTCATGCATGATTCGTATGGATCTGTTAACTGAATGCAAAGTGTGAATTCTAACGATCAAGAACAACTTCCCTCAAGATGCTTTTTCAGATTAGACGTTGAATCCTTCGATGCTGATAGAAGTTTTGTTGCAGGTAGGCATTGCATTGCGCTGAGATGTTACGCCTTTTTTCAGATTTATAAGTAAAACAGTCTTTGTATTTCCACGAGAGAAATGCATTACGCGAATGGCTTTCTGTTGTGTCTTCCATTTTTGTGTCGTGATGATGAGCGTATGCACTCTCACTACGAGTTGCTAAGTGAACAGGCTGCTGCACGCAGTGTTTTTTTTTTTTTTTTCAACAGAGAATTAGTTGCCTTATTGGTTAAAATCCCCAAACTGTTTACTTAAATATTAAATTAAGAAATGACATTAAAATTCAAAGTAATCACTTTGGTAATCTAAAACACTTTTCGGATGTAACTGTAATTTGATTGCCACCTATTTAAAATGTAATTATAACGAAATACAGTTACTCATATTTTGTATTTTAAATACGTAACGCCGTTACATGTATTTCGTTACTACCCAGCCCTGTATATATATATATATATATATTAGGGATATGCTGGTATCAAATTTTCATGTTGCTTTTATCAAGGTATACGGTATTATCACAATATTGAAATTTAGTTGCAAAAAAGTGTTGTCATAATACAGTATAACAAGTTTAATAGCTTTTCTCTTATAACAAAAATAACTGAACATTTAAATACAATAAAGAAATACACAAAAAATGCATAAAGTTAACATTTTTACACAGATTAAAGTGCAAAAGAATTATAAGGACCAATAGGTATCACTTTACAATAAGATCTCATTAGTTAACCCAGGGGTTTTCAACCTTTTAGGACATGCGCCCCCCCAAGTTGGTCTAATTTCACTCGCGCCCCCCCCATATTACTGTAGTCACACCGAATTACTTTATTAACATTAACATAAAAGCAAATATCCATTAAAGCTATTAAAGCAGCGAACAATTTTTCTTTTGCTCTTTCTGATTAACATTATTTACATAAGAAATGCACGTTATGCTGATGTACATTTGATATTTTCTTTACTGTTTACATTCACTTAAAACAACCGACTGTGCTTACAAGGATACTTGTCAAGACAGCCATTGGTATTCTCCTGCTGTCTGAGAAGGCTATCTGTTTGTGCACTTCAGGTGTGTGCGCGGTGCGCATAGAAACGCTTTATCACAGCACGTGCGTACCGCACTGAGATGTCTTGGGCTTTAAATGGCTTAAAATTACTTTAATGTTTAAACTGACAAGACTTAAAACACGTGAGAATGAAAAACTTTCTCGAGGAAGCAGCACTGGCCTGATGGTTAAAATAGTTTTGGGGGGATAAGGTGACAGATAGGGGGGCTGAAACCCACCTAAAAAGGGTTTTAGAACCGCCCCTGGTATAGCGTGCGTAATTATACTGAAACATAAATATATAACCAGTTTACCTGATTCAATGTGATGGCTGAGCCTGTTTCTGAGATAACAACATGCCAATCCGTGGTTGGATTTCCGACACGGCTAATCGTAAATCATCTTACACTGTCAATAAGCATGACCAGGGTTGCCAGGTTTTCACAACAAAACCCGCCTACTTGCTACTCAAAACTAGCCCAAAACTACAAAACGCGGCATGCGGGAAAACCGCGGACTTGGCAACACTGAGCATGACTGATACTCGAGCCAACTCTGCTCTAACTGTCGACTAGCAGTGGGAGTCAGATTGCCCCCTAGCGGATGGCTAAAGATTTGTTAACTCATATTCATAAATTCTCACGGGAACGTCTCTGAATTAACTGATGCTCGCGCCCCCCTTGACAGGTGCTGGCGCCCCACAGGTTGAAAACCCCTGAGTTAACCTTAGTTAATGCATTTCTGCTCTTCAGTGCCATCTGCTGTCAGAGAGTGAATGCGCTTCTCATCCGTGCTTGTTTACATCAGATGAGATTTGACGCAGCAGTGTTGTGCATTGTGACCAGTTGATGGGAAAAGTATTCTTAAAATGCATTCAAAATTCTGAATAATTTGCAATAAATAATTATTCTCTGTATTTTGAAGTGGCCATGACAATATCGTGCATGTTCATTATCGTGATACATCGCATTACTGAATACATATATATATTCTAATAATAGTATGTGTGTTCACTTTTTAGATATATACACCTTACCTCTTTGTTTCTTTACAATTAAAAACGGGACCTAAACTTCTGAAAATACTAAGTTAGACTGGGTACCTACACCTCCAGGCATTACGCCATTTCTTGTGGTGTTCCTCAAGGCTCAATTTTGGGTCCTCTATCATTTAACCTATACATGCTTCCTTTAGCTCAGCCCTACTGGACTGCATAGACGGCATAAAATTGTGGATGTCACAGAACTTTCTACAGCTAAACAAAGATAAGACTAATGATGTGCAAAGAGTATCTCTCACTCCACATCTTGACTCTCTATCACTTAAAGCAAGTAACCAGGTCAACAACTTCGGAATTATGTTTTAAAGTGACCTCAGTTTTAAAAAAAAACATATTAGCACTGTTACTAGCATATTATCACCTCAGATCTCCAAAGTATGTGATATTCTTTCTCCTTCTCAATTGAATGTCTGCTTTACCTCATCATGTGAAGGATGAGCGAGGGTAGAGAGCTTCTCAGGTTAACAGCCATCTAAAGCTCACTGCAACTGCACAAAGATTCAGATGCCGGGGAAGATTGTTAGACCTTGTGTTGTTTGTGGTCAGTTCATCATGTCTACACCGGACCTGAGCAGCAGCACATTGTGTAGCATCAAAAGCAGATCCATTATAATGGATACGGACAGCAGACACATGACCTGTACTATTTATGACATACTCCACTCGCTTGAGCTACTCCTGACAACAGGACGAGTGGGGGGGGAGTTAACCTCGAACTGAAACGGGCAAATGCTTAATCGGCCATACAAGCTACCAACTTCATGTTTTTTTTTTTTCTAGGCTGCTTCTGTTAGAAACTTTACGATCTTTTAATTCAGACGTTCAAATAAAAACTATTGCCAGACATGTGCATCAGTCACATGAGCCGGTTTCATTTCAGCCAGTAAACACTTATTGGGAAAAAAAAAAAAGCCTTTTGCACATCTGCTTGAGCATGTGTTATTCACGTCTGAGTGGCTCATCAGTTAGCGTTATCCACTAGTTAATGATGCTGGTTAATCAGAAGAAGCTGTTAGAAGTTTGCTAAGAGAATTAGTAGCATAAAAAGGTAGCATCGTGAAGAGACAGATAAGACCTCCCACCATCAGAACAGCAGAGACTGCGGCTCTACTGCGCTGCGTACCTCTGCTAGGCACGGGACTCTGTCCGAGGGACTGAGGGGGGACAGGGCAGGGCTGCTGGGAGCCGAGGAGGACTGCTGGAGCAGGTCGGGCAGGCCCCTAATGCAGTTCCTCTGCCCAATCTCTACAGGACTGGGACTCCAGCCTGATCCCAGCACTGTCACAGGCCCTGCTCTCTGGAACTGAGAAAGGCAAACGTCTGGGTCCATGCATGTGCAACGCTTCAAGTCAATGCTCTTTTCCTTTGCTGCAGTAAACTTGCAATTATCAAGTTTTTTTTTTACAATAAACAATAACATTCTAGTATCATCTGAAAAGAAAGAAATAAAAACATTCATAATTCATAGAAAACAAGGACAATGAAAAAATTATGAAACAAAGGAACAGTAAAAATGGCCAAACAGAACGGAAAGAATAGCATAAATGTTCAACAGTTGTGTTTTACAGTAGTATGTGAACACTATGGCACTATAGTTCTGCTGATAAATGAGATGGGATGAGATGAGAAACAGTCAAATCGGCCAAAGCTGCCCAAGTGCTTTTGAGTCGTGAGCAGCAGGAGGAATTCATGCCGGATCCATCCGTCCCATGATCAGTAATCACAGTATCCTTTACTGCCCCATTTTATATTAGGTGTCTTTACCTACAAGAGTCCTTTTGTTTGTGCATTTGGTGCAATGTACGGCTGTTGTCCTGAGGCTGGGATACAGGCTCAACAGATGCAATCACATGCCAGTACTTTTAAAAAAGAAGCATCTTATACGTACTGTGCATATTCACAGTAAGTGTATAGCAGAGGTGTAAGCAAGTTCGGTCCTAGAGAGCTGCTGTCCTTCAGAACTTCGCTCCAACCCTGAAAAACCCCTCACCTGCCTAAAGCCGTAGTAATCCTGAAGACACTGATGAGCTTGTTCAGGTGTGTTTGATTAGGGTTGGACCGAACTCACCTACCCCTGGTACGGCAGGTAAAGACACCTACTATAAAGTGTAGAAATACAGTGGTCATGAAGCTGTGTCCAGCAGGAGGCTGGTGTGTGAGTGTGTGTGTGTGTGTGTGCGCGTGTGTGTGTGTGCGTGTGTGTACCTGTTTTTCTATTCTGGTGGGGACTTAAACCTGAATACACACAGACTCATGGGGACTCGTGTCACGGTGGGGACCTAAATTGAGGTCCCCACGGGTAAACAAGCAAGCAAATCACACAGAATTAAGTTTTTTGAAAATCTAAAAATGCACAAAGTTTCCTGTAAGGGGTAGGTTTAGGTGTAAGGCAATAGAATATACGGTCTGCAAACCAGACATATGTGTGTGTGTGTGTGTGTGTGTGTGTGTCATTGTATGTAGGTGTGTGGGAGGAAGCATACAAATCATTGATATTAATAATAATAGTAATAAATTATAAATTAATTAATATTTAATAATATTTCCATCCGTGGCAACAACATACCATGTGTGTGTGTGTGTGTGTGTGAGTGCGCGTGTGTGTGTGTGTGTGAGAGTGTGTGTGTGTCACCTGTCTCATGATCAACGTGCTGTCTTTGCATGGCGTAGAGGAGGCGTCGTTGTCTTGGACAACCATGGTCTTGGCTGCTTCCGTCTCTCCATTACTGAGTCTGGACGAGCTGCCAATCACAGAAGAACGATCTGAGCTCATTACACACGCTTTCAAACCTGCTCTGAACACTCGTGTGCTTTATAAAGGTTTACTGCACATGATGTCTTTCTACCTGTGCTTTTACTCTACATCTTGAATGTGATCAGTGTAGCCTGATGAATGTCACACATCTGCAGCACATCGCTGGACACTAGGGCTGTCAAAATGGCTGAAAAACTACATTCAAACTTTGCATTTAAATATTAGCAATATTCCAATTATATTCAAATTTAAAAGGAAAGGCCTAATTTCAGTTAGAGGGAAAACGCTTTTGGCTTATCTCAAGCGGCCACAAGAGGGCGCATTGAGCAAAATATTACTAATGCACATTTGTTCAAAGCAATAAAATAACATGACTATCCGTGAAAAAAGTGCATAATGTTAAAAAAATATATAATCAATTATTTTTTATGAACATTATGCACTTTTTTTCACGGATAGTCATGTTATTTTATTGCTTTTTTAATTGAAAAACATGAGATGCAGTGGGAGGGGGATTTTTGAACTTACATAAATTTTACATGGCTTTCTAAACATGCATCTCTCTTGTGCGAGAGTGGGTTCAACACAGTGTTGCCAACTAGTTTTCAGAGAAAGTTGCTAAAGGAAGGTCGATTTGTTGCTAAAAGTTGCTAAATGACGTTGTGATGTCACTGCACGATGATGTCATTGCGTAATCACGACGCAAAATTGTGTCACAACATCAAATCTCAGCAAAAAATATATTTTATATATGGTAATTTAGATCTGTTTGTAAAATAATAAGCATAATATAATATTAAAATATAAATAACTGTACTTTTAAATACATTGAATTACTGAACACTTACACATTTTTAATAATCACAATTTAAATTTTTTTAATAGCTAGTAGACTAGTAATACTACAACATTCTCAACAATTATGCTTTAAGCAGTGTATTAGTAGTTAGTTAGTATGCTACACTCTAAGAAAAGTCTGTAAATATAGCGCACAATCTACTGTCAATTTGAAAGAATTTTCCGTATTGGTTTTTCCCTGCATTTTAAATTACGCATTGTGTTTTCAGGTTACAGGGTGATAATGGATAATGTCCTGGGACATTACTAGTATCTTTTCCATTTTTCTTACAGTGTACTAACTGACCAACAATCGCAGGTACAAGCTACTAACAAAGTGTATCATAAATGAACAATTATTCAATTATTATTAAATTGAACAATTGCAAATAGCAGCTAACTCAATTCACATGATGTGTGTACAGTACTGCGAGGAATCTTTGGTTTCCTCTTTTTGTGTAATTTGGATGGAACATGTGTGCCTTTTTATTGTCTGATTCTCTTATCAAAAGTTGCCAAATAAATGTTAGAAATTGCTACATTTGTTGCTAGGTGCTAGGGTAGTCTGAAAAGTTGCTAAATTTAGCAACAAAATGGCTAAGTTGGCAACACTGGTTGAACTGGACAGGCTAAAAAAAGCATTACCATGCAATGACAGCTACATCGTCATCGCATCTGGTGTGCCACTGATAAAGCTGTCTGACGCACACCTAACGTGTTTGCATTCGAATGTGGATTTTTATTTCAAACTGAAGGTGTAATGTTAATTTGACAGCCCCAGTGTGCTGTGTGATGGTCAGCGAGGCTCACCCGGCGCGGGAGTCCTCGGGGCCAGACGTCGACTCCTCTCCCGCCTCCTGATCCACCTCCTCGTCGTCCTCGTCGTCAGTGGTGCCCGAGTCCTCGCTGGAGGACGAGTAGTCCGTGGCTTTGTGCTGCGGCCGCACGTCCTCCACCGCACGCAGCTCCTTCGCCAGCGCCGTCAGATCCTGCCAATCACACTGCTGTCATTAAAGCACTGCCAGAAAGCTTTGACTGCTCTCCCTGCCAGCCGTCTCTGTCTTGCTCAGGCCTGGTCCTCACTAATACCTCTCCGTTTCGGCCTTCCATCCACACTGAGACGCCGCTTTTGTCAAGAAAAACCAAGCTTTTTGAAAACGATCTCCAAAGTGGATACATTTGAAAACGCTGTTGTCACATTGCAGTGTGGCCTGTGAAAACAGAGGCTTTTGAAAATGACGACATATTATATCAATATATATCCATGTTTATCCCGGTATTGTGCCTGTCATGTGCTATTCACTTTCACACTGTTGCTACAGATGTGTTACTTGGTACACTCTTCGTATCACCGTCCTGCAAAGATGACCGGAAATGTACTCACGATTGCTGTTTGCAGCGAAACATGAGGGCAGTCGTGTTTTAGATCAGACATACAATCGTCAGTGAACGAGGAGATATTTTCCTAAACAAAATGGTCCTGCCAGAAGAAATGCATGAAAACGTATCGTGCCTGTTTCATCTGTATCGCAGTAAAGCGAATTTAACGTTTTCTGATGTTTCGGTGCAGATGAGAAACTTTTGCACAACGCTAGTGTGGACGGAGAGTGTTTTGAAATGTATTAATGCAGACATAAGTCATCGAGTCAAACTGAAGCTGTGAGTGTCTGTCGTGTTCTCCTCTGCTGGACTAACTCTCCTGAAGGACCCAGCATTTGGTGACGCTGATCACACTGCAAAGCTGCTTTGAGGAAACTCACAGGTTCAAAATAAGTCAAGTTCAACTGACAGCACAAGTGGCATAATGATGTTTACCACAAAAACACAACAACTCGTCCCTGCTCTTCTTTACAAAAAGCAAAAAACATGTTTCCAGTGTGGCACTTACGATGGAAGTGAATGTGACAATTTCGGTACAAATGTGACTCTTGTAATTGTATAACATCTCAATATTCTTCTGTTAAACATGCATTACTGGAGCTGTAATGCTGATGAAGTGGATTGATTCATTCATCAGTTGTTCCTCATTGAGATAATAACACCTGCAGCCATAGCATCAAACGCCTGGTGTAGTGTTCGGTGTCCAGCAGCAGTGTTTTTCTTTCAGCAGCTGTCCAGACGCCGCTTGGCTCTCGTTGCTTCTATGTGTGCAGACGTTACAGCAGGTCCTGCAGAGTTTAGCTGCAGCCCTGATCAAACACAGCTGAAGCAGCTCATCACCAGAAGCTGTGTGTTTGATCAGGCTCGCTGCTACAGAAGTACAGTGTTATATCTGCAGAACTGCAGAGTTACACTGAGTGGCTTAAGAAGGGATTTTATCATATAACAGCTACTGAAACAGTGAGTACTCTGAGTGCAGTGAGTGTTTTTGTGGTAATTAAGTCACACATGTGACCCGCGCTGGCAAAATGAGTCAGAATGAGCAAATTTTCAAAAATCGGTTATTTTTATTTCCATATTCTCCATTAAAATACCTTCAAAATGATATATGACTTGTTGGAATTGGACAAGAAATAAGCTACAGCCGTTTGAAGACGATAGAGTTTGTGCTTTCTAATAAAGAGTGTGTGAGAGAGAGAGAGAGAGAGAGAGAGAGAGAGAGAGAGTGTGTGTGTGTGTGTGTGTGTGTACAGGTATATATGGTTTATGAGGACACAAATGTGTATAATGACATGGGTACTACAACGTAAACATGGTTTATGAGGACACTTCCTGTGTCCCCGTAAAACAAAAGGCTTAAAAAACATACAAAACGGTGTTTTATGAAATTCAATGTGTGTGAGAGAGTGTGAGAGAGTGTGAGTGTGTGTGTGTGAGGGCTCACCTGCGGGTCACTGCTGCTGCTGCCGTTGGAGAAGGGCTCTGACGATCGCGGTGGCACGGCTGGAGGCTGCTTCTGCAGGACTGCGGTCTGAGGAGAGCCCTGCACGCTCCTGCGGTGACGCTCGTCCACCTGCACACACACCAGCACAGAGTGACACACCAGTGCAGCTCTAAACACCTCACAACAAACACTCATGCTGCAGAGAGACACCGGCGCACAGCACAGACACCTCAATAATCAGAGCCAGAAATACTGTCATCCAGCTGTTTTAACAGATCAGTGCTTTCTAATAAAGAGAGCCAGTCTTTTTATGAATCACAAAGGAGCACGGTTTCAGCTAAAAATATAATATTTTCACTGTTCTACTGAAGAAAAACAGTCACCTGCATCTCGAATGGCCTGAGGATGAGAAAATTAACAGCACAATTTAATTTTTGGCTGAACTATCCCTTTACTAAGAGCTAAGCTGTTTTACTGTTCAGAAACCGGTCACTTTTCACAAAAGTGCACCAGTTCTCTATTAATGTTAGTAAAGGGCTAACAAATCTGTGTGCTTCTTAATATTGATGACAGCTGCAGATACGCATGCCATCCTCTCAAACACAGAATACTGTTTTAACCCAAAATCAAGTCAGACGTCTCTCACCAGGAGCATGGCCTGCTCGTGAAGCAGCTGCTGCTGCAGGATCTCCAGGTGCCTCTGCTCCTCCTCCAGCTGCCGGCGGATGTACTCCTGTCACACACACACACACACACACACACACCGCTTCAGCGCAACACACACACGCTCATATCCATTCACACGCTGTAAATAACGGCTTTTTGTAGTGTATAACTGTGTTATTACATGAATTATTGAGCCGCTCCAAACTTTGATGAGCATGGTGGCTAATTACTGTAAACACGAAATTCACACACTAAAACACGCATGCAATCACTCCACACACACAGGTGAGCTCCAGCGCTCAGGCTGATGGACAGTGGGGATTGCACATATTTGACATGTGATCGTACAACTATCTCTCTTCTCTGTTTCCATTCAATAATGACTTATCACGCACAGCTCTGTAAACCCAGTACATACAGTGGGGAAAAAAAGTATTTAGTCAGCCACCAATTGTGCAAGTTCTCCCACTTAAAAAGATGAGAGAGGCCTGTAATTTTCATCGCAAAAAAATCTAAATATTGAGAAAATCATCTTTAAAGTTGTTCAAATGAAGTTCTTAGTAATGCATATTACTAATCAAAAATTACGTTTTGATATATTTACGGTAGGAGATTTATAAAATATCTTCACGGAACATGATCTTTACTTAATATCCTAATTTTTGGCATAAAAGAAAAATGTATAATTTTGACCCATACAATGTATTGTTGGCTATTGCTACAAATATACCCCAGCGACTTAACACTGCTTTTGTGCTCCAGGGTCACATATGAATCAATTAGCCCTACCAAGCTAGGTGATTTTCCCAAAAGGGTGTGTAAGGGGCATAATGAACCAAACTGGCCCACTGTCTCCCTCCAGACGGGCCGCGAGTAGACACTCCTCAGCTCTGATGTCATCATTAGCTCCATTCATTACTGTGCACTTTGTTTTATATAAAACTATGTTTTGAATGCAAAAGCATATCTGAACGTAAGACTTTTAGATATTCCTGCAAAATACACATCATGCAGCTCTTAAAACTTTAAAGGGTTAGTTGACCCAAAAAATTAAAGTTCTGTCATTAGTTACTCACCCTCATGTCGTTCCAAACCCGGAAGACCTCCGTTCATCTTCAGAACACAAGTGAAGATATTATTGATGAAATCCGAGGTCTCTTAACAGAGTTCATGTTAACAAAAGCAACAGATAAGCGCTGCAGTTTATTAATAAACCGCAACAGGAGAGCGTGCGGCATCAGCACTGGAAAGATAGGCTAGTCTCACTACTTCTAATGAAGATGATTGTGAGTTGAGCGTCTGTGACTTACTTTCAGCTTCATTTGCGTTAGTTAATGTCGGCTTGCTGGAGATACTCAGCTACTCATCCGCGGCGAGGAGCGTTGCATTAGCGGTCATATCTGACTATAACATGCCATATAGCCTATAAAACGCTCTCACGTTTATTATTTTAATATTTTTGGAGGAGTAAAATATGCTTATGTGGTTTCAACAACCAGATGCATTTACACTTGTCCAGTTTCGTCTGAATGCGGCCCAGACCTCCTCCTGAAGTGGTTTGAGCGATCAGATTTATATCCGTCTTGAAAGAGTTTCGGAGGGCATTTACACCTGGTCTTTTCACCATCGGATAGCTATCCAATCAGAGAAAACGCATGAAGTGACCGGGTGTAAACAGCCTCATGTGACCATCAGGGGTTCAACCGTAATTTTATGAAACTTGTTGCACTGCTGTCTATGGAAAGTCAGAAAGCTCTTGGATTCATCAAATTATTTTAATTTGTGTTCCGAAGATGAACGAAAGGTGTGAGTACGACATGAGGGTAATTAATGACATGCTCATTTTTGTGTGAATGATCCCTTTAAGTAAAAGCTAAACACAATGTTTGGCTGAACACTAGTCTGTGGTGATGTAATGGTGCGGTGACTGTTGGGAACACAGCTCCTTCAGACAGCTGGCACACCTAAACCGATTACACTAGTCTTAAACACTTAGTCCTCTCATTTGTTTTCTTAAAGACTGGTCATAACTTCTTCAAGTCCATTAAAGATTCACATTAAAAAAACTGCCTGACAAGCAATTTGAATGTTTTTATGCAACTCAAGGTTTTTTTGAGGGGGTGTTCATTATTACACCTAAAAATAAACCGAAGTTAGATATAGAATCGGCTGTAAATGCCTGCCTTTAGTATAACATTAGAGTAATGTACCCACTGACAGCTTTAGTGTAGAGATTGAATATAATGTCAGAAATGCTGACATGTATGGAAGCAAACGGACACTGAACTAATCAAGAGCGTGTGAATGAGACTGGATTAGATTTGTAGTGCAGGAGCAGGTCTCTCAGATCACAGATCCATCACCCCCGAGGCGCTTCACTGCTTCACCTGCTCGCGGTCAGCCCTCCTCTTCTCCTCCTCTGCCCTTCGGCGCTCCTCCTCCTCTTTGCGCCTCCTCTCCATCTCCTCCAGGCGTCTCTTCTCCTCCTGCTCTCTCCTCCTCTGCTCTCGCTCCTGCTGCCTCCTCATCTCGCGCTCGCGTCTCTGTTGCTGCAGGACACGAGACGAACACACAATCATTGCTGCTGTTTGCTTCGCACTGATCTTAGGCTGAACTCTGACATGTGCTGTAGTGTTTCGACATAAAAGAGGGTCGATACAGTTCCTTGTCATTCAGCAAACTGATTGGTGAGGTTACGCACAGAACCGTGGCTGTAAACCCACAGAGAGAACACTGTAATTCCAGTTTTAATTCAACAAAAGAATGGCTTGTCATAGAAGTGACTGATTTTGCTTTCGAAACTGCACATTTGGTAGAGAGGTGAAGTATTCCGGCTGCAGTATAGCATGCTCAGGTCGGATCAGTAGGTTCAGATTGATAAAGACCTGTGACACACGAGTTTATGATCATGTGACCTGTGCTTTATCAAGATGATTTGTGGATTGCACAGCCGAACACCGTGTCCTAACTACACGCGACGCCACAAACGCCACAGAATCAATCAGATACCGCAGCCAATCAGAAGCGTGTGGGCGGAGCCTCTCTGGAAGCGCACCGCACTCGCAAGCAAATGGATAATTTTATAATCTACTTCATAAATATTCAAGCTTTTTAACATTATTAAGTGCACATACTGAGTGACTGATAACGTCTTTGTTATGGAATACGCTTGTTGGTTCGCATCGAGTTCCCAGTTTTAACGTACATTTGCTTACATTTATTTTCAAGATCTGAGGTAAACTATCTGTTGTTGTTTTCAGTATGGCTATAAATGTCACACAATATGATATTCAAACTCACATTAGACACATTTAACTTTGAATAAAGCACATAATCTGTACCTGAGATTATCTACTGTCATATAGTTTGTATATGACACGACAGCCACGACAACGCGGAAATAGAACCCGTTTCTAGTTAGGACAAAAACTCACATTAACATGGAAAAGATTGCGTGTAGTTAGGACACGTGTAAGAGCCAATCGGAGATCTCTGTCTGTCCTATCCTTTGCTATGGCATGTTCAGCATGTGTCGGTGGAGGATCAGATGCATTTGTGCAGATTAGACATATTCTGTGATGTTACAAACTGGTGACTTGTATGGTTGACTAATCAGCAATGCAGTCTGGCACTGATCACGTTTGCCATCTCAGTCAAAACAAGGCATTCTAGTGGTGTATATAGTTGTTCCCGGAATCACAGGATGAGTGTGGTTTCTCACAGACCTCCTCCAGACGCCTCCTCTGCTCCTTCTGCTGCTCGATGCGCTTCTGTCGCTCGGCCAGCAGCTGCCGCTTGTACTCCTCCTGCTCGCGGAGCTGCTGCTCCTGGAGGAGCTGCTGGCGTCTCAGGGCCTCCGAGCGCTCCTTATTCTCCTGCTGCAGACGGATGAAGTCCCGCCGCAGAGTCGACTCGCCCGGCACGTTCACGATAGAGCTGCCACACACAGTTACATACTGTTCACCTTTCAAGGGGTCATGTACTGACAAACCAAAATTCCCTTGATCTTTTGACATATAAGAGGTCATTGTACTATAAAAACATTCTCTAGCATTCTCGTTAGTCTAAAACAGCTTATATTAAAGCCAGTCTGCCAAAACGACAGCTTGGAATGTTCTACTCTGTGATGTAACAGTGTGGATAAGCACCGCTTCTGCAGAAGATCAACGCCTGCTTCTACAGCACTGCCTGTTTAGCTCCTCCAACCAATTCACACCGATTCTAGAGCACTAGCGTGGATTTGTTTACCACGGTTGTGCATTATTTTCTAATAATTCAACGGACCGAAGTCAATCATTCTGCTTATACTACAGTTGCCACACCTCAAGACATCGATCAGATGATATATTTCAAGGCATTTGCCCGGTTTTTGTACTTAAAACACTATCGTGAGTAGGATTAATTTCTTCCGCATCTCAAGCAACACCTCTTAATAACGGAGACTTGAGCTGTTGATAGCAGATTAATGCAGTTAATAACTTAGTTATCAGAGAGAGAGAGAGGGAGAGAGGGTGCGTGTGAGGGAGAGAGAGCATGTGCTTTCCATTCATAATAAAATGTAATTTTGTGGCAAAAACATGGAAATGATCAGTTGTTGTTATCCTATTTTTTACTATATTTATTTGTTTGGCCAGTGTCGTTGTGGGTTTTGGTTCTTTTGCTGTTTTTGGCTGTAAGGAACTTTGAAATATCTCAAATAATTTGGCGAAGTGATAATGGTCATGTAATGCGGTCAAGAGCTGCCTGGAACTACGTTTGCCGTGCGTTTCCCTGAAAATAACTGCACACCTTAGAACATTCATCAGCCAATCAGATTCAAGCATTACACGACCCCCTAGTATAAGCTTTTTAACCTAAATCACATCAGCGTCCATCTGTGAAGGATGTAGGCTGTCAAACACACACAACTATTAGCCAATCATGGGTCTACAATCCTCCACAGCTATTCAAACAGAGCGTTCTGATGAGGGGGTCAGAAACAGCACAGAAAATAGCTTATGTTGTATTTTCTTAGAGAGAGAGAGACAGACAGATAGAGGTGTGAGGAAGAGAGACCTGTGAGTCTCAGAAACTAAATAAGGTTTGTCCAAGAAGCTGCTAGATTTGTCACTAGGTGCTCTTTTGGAAAAAAAGTTGCTAAAGGTGTCTGAAAAATGGCTAAATCTAGTGACAAAGTTGCTAATTTGGCGACACTGCATCTCCAATTTTCCAACTACGGGCGAGGCCACGGGTCAAACAGAGAATGTGCGCTGCATTAATAAGATTAGTGCTGTTAAAAAGAATTTGCGTTATTAACGTGTTAACTTTGACAGCCCTACAATGAGGACAAACACTTGTGATTTGATGTAGTGTGTGTGTGTGATACCTGGGCTCTCCCTCCTGCTCCTGAGCCTCCTCCTCCTCTTCCTCGCTGCCGCTGTACTCGTACTCGGTCTCGTCTGCGGCGGAGCACAGGCGGTCAGTCACTCATCAGCACATGCGTGAGGTGAGGTGCGGTGCGGTGTGGTGGGGTCAGTACCTCTCTCGCCGCGCTTCTTGCGGCAGCGGTCCAGGTGGTCTTTGAGCTGGATGCGCACCTGCCGCTCGTTGGGCTGGTCTCTGATGAAGGGGTGCTTCAGCAGCTGATCGGTGGGCGGCCGCTGCGTGTAGTTCTTCACCAGACAGCCCTCGATGAAGCTGAAGAACTTCTTAGACCTGTGAAGCACAGCAGAGCGAGTCCTCAGCCCTGACCTTTCACCCTCCACAGTAACTGCACCGCAGCAGATGAAGCTACTGACCATTTCTTGGACTTGAGTCTGGGCGGAGGATTTCTGGGTATGAGAAAGAGCGCTCGCATGGGATGCATATCGCACAATGCTGCAAAACACCAACACACACGCTCATCAAACACAAGCGTCAACCCAGCACAGGGTATAATGACATCCAGTATACTCGAGCTTCAACACGAGAGAGACGGAGTAATGACACGTCACAATACTTCTACTGTGCTTTAAAGAGGTCATGACATGAGAAACCAACTTTACCTTCATCTTTTGACAGAAGAGGTCTTTGGATGCTTAATACATCCTGCAAGATTCATAACTTAAAATGTCCTCATCGTCAAAAAAAAAACATGTAATAACCCTCAGAATACGACTCGTTTTGGATCCGAGGGACAAGGTGATGTCAGCTGGGCGCAGTCGTTTGCATAAACACGCCTCCACAGCAAGACATCGACCAATAGTCTTCTTGTCGCCATAGGCCCCGCCCACTGGCGTTCAGTCGCTAACGGCTGACACTTGATCACGCTGAACGAGAGTGTCGTGTCAAAAGCAAATAGAAATGACAAACACTGCGCTATCTTGTCTACACTGGATACAGTAAACAGATAGTGAGGGGCGTTGATACTGTTTCCTATGCAGTGATGTTAGCCAATCACAACAGCGGCTGATTACTGACGAGCCTTAAAGCACACGCCCCTTAAAACATATCGGTTCAGACAGAGGGTCAGAATGAGGGTTGGAAATAATCCTTTTCCCACATATGTATTTGTTATTTTGTGCAAAACAACTTTATTAACATTATAAGTAAACCTCAAGGAACATATTAAAATAATTTTTAAAAAATCCATGCCATGACCTCTTTAACAGTTCTCTTTCATAATAAGGGTTTGTGTTTTCAATTTTCATCTTTAAATGTATTGATTTGCTGTAAAATGTACTAATGGTGGCACAGAAGCTATTGTATGTCAGGAGAGTGTAAGAGAGCAGCAGCAGCAGTGAAGGTGTGTGAGGACAGTACTCACGAGGAGCGCCCTCGGCCATCTCTATGGCAGTGATCCCACAGGACCACAGGTCGCTCTGAAACACAGCACAGCACAGCCGTCAGTCCCTGCGCTCTGAGCCTAGCACACACCAGCTCTGAGTCTGCAGCTCTTACCCTGTAGTCGTACGTGGCGTCTGGGTTCTCGTCGCAGGCGATGACCTCGGGAGCCATCCAGTACGGCGTCCCGATGAAGGTGTTCCTGCGGCCCACGGTTCGATCCAGCTGAGCGCTGACGCCGAAGTCCACTGCGGAGCAACGAGAGAGAGCTCCTGAAACACTGCTGACAAACACCTGCTCCATCACCACGGTCTGCCTCAGACCTCAGCGGGAACACTTCGTCACTGATAAATGTGCGCTCAGTCTGCACTCTTTCACTTGTGTGCTGCCCTCCAAAAATGACTGAATATTATAGACGTGGCATCATGATTTTCAGTATTAGCGCTGGTTGGACACTAGGTGGTGCTATGGGCTCATTTCATTAAACACTTTCCAACTAAACCATAAAATGAAACAAACAAAAGGAAATGAAAGGATTATTATTGGATGAGTTCAGCACAAAGTGAACCACACAGAACTGAGTGCACATCTGGACGACTTCTTCTTATTCTCGATATATAGTGATGAGCTCAGCTGCAGGATATTCCATCTCTCCATCAGAAGCATACACTGACGTTTATTACCACAACAAGCGCTAGTGTGTCCGTGTTCACGCTGAATACACACATGAGAGGAGGCTGGCACTGATGCAAGAGAGCAGTTTAACTCGACGCTCCCCGCTTTAAACCTTTCACACCGGGATCATTATTACTCTACACTGTGGCCAAACACTGCTCAGCTGGATTAGATGTGGTCTGTCAGAGATTTCCCTGACTGAGAACAGAAAACAAATCCTAGAAGCAGTAAGTGTTTTCCTGATGATTCTGTTGAAGGAAGAGTATTGTGTTCTTGTCTGACAGCAGGATCTCCAGCAGGAGCCTGTGACAGCAGCTCAAAGCACGGAGACCTGTGTTAACGCCTCACCTAGCTTGACCTCGGCGTTCTCCGTCAGAAGCACGTTCTGACCCTTGATGTCTCTGTGGATGACGTGATGAGCGTGCAGGTGAGCCAAACCCTGCCGAGAGAAAGCACACAGGTGTGTGAGACAGCACACCTCCGCTGCGGCATCAGTGTGTGTGAGCCTGGCTTCATACCCTGAGGATTTCTCTGGAGATGTATGCTATCCAGTCTTCCTTCAGGGAATTCCCTTTAGTGTTCTTCACAAGATCTGTGATCGAACCAGCTCCACAAAATTCCATCACCAGCTGCAAGAGAGACGCACTGCTTTACTGGACACACACACACACATATATATATATAGACGTACACACACACACACACATATATAGATGTATACAGACACACACACACACACATAGAAGTATACAGACACACACAGATGTATACAGACACACACACATACATACACACATACACACACACACACACACATATATAGATGTATACAGACACACACACACACACATAGAAGTATACAGACACACACAGATGTATACAGACACACACACATACATACACACATACACACACACACACACACATATATAGATGTATACAGACACACACACACACACATAGAAGTATACAGACACACACAGATGTATACAGACACACACACATACATACACACATACACACACACACACACACATATATAGATGTATACAGACACACACACACACACATAGAAGTATACAGACACACACAGATGTATACAGACACACACACACATAGATGTATACAGACACACACACACATAGATGTATACAGACACACACACACACACACAGATGTATACACACATACACACACACACACACACATATATAGATGTATACAGACACACACACACACACAGATGTATACACACATACACACAGATGTATACACACATACACACAGATGTATACACACACACACACACACATAGATGTCAACAGATACAGAACATGGATCTGAAGACGATCAGTTCTCAGCACAGTGTGAAATACAGCTCTCATCTTGACGCTGACGGTAATAAAGCACAAACCAACTCTCTCTGAACATCACATGCACAGGGGAGTGTGTGTGGGACAAGTCGTCTCAGGAAATATCATAGTCTCGTTCTCCAGACCATATAAACGTGTGATCTTCCGAGCATAACTGAAGCAGTCCTGCAGAAATCCACTGAGAACACATTAAGAACACATCCTGTGTTTCACCGGACTGACTGAAACAGACCTCTTTTTGATTGGTCATTAACAAACCATCAGCACTCCTCCAGGTCTCTTCTTTTCTTCAGATTGCAGTAAAGCACCTGTTTTGACACGTTTTATCTTCCCTACAGTACAGGAATGAAGAGCTTTACACGCAGGCAATGGCTGTAGATGCAAGGAAAGTCAGCTTGATATCAGTCTCAAGGCTGAAAGCTCACGTCTGTCTCGTGTGATGTTTATAATGTGTTTTAACATTAAACAATAAAAACAACATAAAACTGTTTTTACATCACCTACTACATGCTATCTGATCAATTGTTCAGTGCCTCATGATTGTTGTGTTTAGTTTTTAGGGTTTGGTGTTTTTAGTGCACTTCCCGTTAAGGTTGTAAGCGTGAGCACACTAGTTTATGCTCCTGATGTCAGGGTGTCTGCTGTGCAGGAGCGAAGGACGCAGAGACGCAGGAGATTCATGAATAACAGTCTTTAATTATCCAAATAAGGGGGAACACCGGGCAGGCAGGAACACACATGCAGCACATAGCATTGACATTTAAAACTGGACAAGGGAACATAGCACAAACCACACTTTAAATACAGGATGAAACGAGGGTAATTGACAAGACACACCTGAATCAAATGAACACAATCAACGAGAGACAGAAAAACTGGGTCACTGAGAGCACATGGGGAGGAAAACATACACACAGACAGTCCAGGAGCATGACAGTTCGCCCCCCTCCCGGAGCACAACAGAACAACAAAGGGAGGGTCGGGTGGGAACTTAGGAGGAGGCTCGGGTGGTGGACAGACACCCAGGAGGAGGACAGCCAACAGAGTCCAGGGAGGAGACAACGGAGGGAGGAGCCAGGGTGGAGACAGGAGGGACTTGGAGCAGGCAGAGCCAGGCGGGACCCAGGCCACAGACATGAAGACGACCCACGGTGGAGCCATGGTGGAGTAGGGGCTGACGACTCCACTCCAGGGGGCCGACCGACTGCGGCGGAGCAAGTGGAGCAGCCCGAGGCAGAGATGGAGAGCCAGTGAGCCAGGGCGACGGGGAGGATCCGGAGGGCCAAGGCGGAGCAGATGGCTCAGGCGACCGAGGACATGGTCTTCACTGCAGAACACAAGATCCAGGGGGCGTGGGTGGATCCAGATCCAACTCTTCC